GGGGGGGGGGGATTTTCCAGACTAACATAAAAATAGTCAAAAAAATTTTCCATACTAACAGAAGCAAATTCAAAATTTTTCGTCGCAAACGTAACAAAAGCTTTAAAATTGTTAAAATTGCGAACCATTTCATAACTTTGGGCAAAATTTTACCAAATTTTTCCCAGTTTTACCTTCAACTTTAATCGGGCCAACGTTTGAACTATTGGGGGGTGTCACCCCCATACACACACGCCCTATAGCGACGTCCCTGGACGGTGCATCTGTCTTTCACTGTGTTTTTAACGATTTTCTTATTGAAAGTGTTTGCAAGCCCTCGTAATTCAATTTTCGAAATTTACAAGCTTGAGCCGAAAATTTGCTGTTTTGTGAGTTGGCAACGGGGGGGGGGGGAGCTTTAATTTGCACAATTTCACGGTCAGTTGGTGAAGGCACGTTAACATCTCTAGTAAAGCATAGATACAAAACAATGCAACAAGTTTACATATGCGTCAAGATTGTTTTACTGCATATTGTTTTCAGTAGTCTTTTATCGTTCATAGTTGAGAGTAGAATCTCAACATGACAACTGCTGTCAGGATTTCCCCATTTGGAATATTCTGTTTTGTTTGTGGTAGTTTCATAGTACTGTATGCTTTGAAGGATTTTATGTCCAGCCGATTATCACTATCAGAGCGGTATACGAGTAAGGAGATCCCGTTTAAAACACTGTTAGAGACGTCAATATATTTGGCAGAAAAAGGAGGCAACGTTCTCAAAGAAATTCGGGAAAAAAGTGATTTACAGGTTTGTAGTTGGACATAATATTAACAAATATAAAGTACATCTGTCCACGTTTTATACATGTCAACACGTATTAAATATTGATTTGCCAGCCCGAGGTCAATGGTCAGGCTTAATTTATTTCAGTCTTCAGATGTTGATTTTGCACGTGCATGTGAAACGGGTCAATAAATCATAAATTGATACTAAAAAAAGTATCAATACTTGTTAAACGTATTGGTAATTTTGATCCTTCAGGGCGCTGGGTGTTAAAGATGCGGTATAGTCCGTATGTAAGGCTTTGTTTACATTTCGGTATCCAAAATATAGAATTTTATTCAAAAACTATTTATATTTTCATGATTCTATTTCTAGAGTATATTAAATTATCAAAACACAACAATCAAGCTTTGCAAGAACATATAATGAAATAAAAACCTAACTAAACTGTTTGAGGGCTCCTTTGTGCACATGCACAGATCGGACTGTACAGCATCTTTAATTAAAGTTTGACTTAGAGCTAACCTTGAGTTAAAGTCAGCATGTCTGTTTATCTCAAACCTGGAAACAGGATTTTGAAAATAGTATTTTCCTCTTTAGGGACCGGTGTCCCAGGAAATTTGGCCCCCCAAACTTTGGCCCCCCTTTGGCCAAATTTCCTAGGAAGGGGGGCCATATTTCCTAGGAAATATGGCCCCCCCTTCGGAAATTTGCCCCCCTCGAAAACATAGTTTACTTTATCACTATAATCTCGGAAATCGTGAAGCTTCTTCTAAAACCAAGATCCTAAAAGTGTTTGTCAGTATTTATGCATGAGTCAATTCCTGGAGTAACCATCCCCCCCCGGGACACCCCCGGGAATTTGCCCGATAGACAGTTCACGGGGGTCGGGAATTTGCCTTTCATATATGTGCACGGGGGCCGGGTATTGGAGGACCCCGGGGATTTGACAAATGGTTGACCAAAATCCCATGCACAAATTTTAAGGCAGCAAAACCTAGTTTCAGGCACGCATGTGGGCGCGCTGATCGTATTTTGCGCCCTCGTGGTCAAGGTGGCGTGAAATTTATTGTAAGAATAAGCGAAAATTATACCCTGTGCCATGCAAATTTAAATACAACTATTAAAGGTTTATGTTTTATAATATTCCATTGCAGATTAATACTATAATGTTATTAAATGATTATGATTATATGCCATTAAATGTTTAATTAACTTTTACAGTCGATTTCACGAAACTTTGACCACAAATTTTCCGAACTTCGTTGCGATCGAAGTTCACAAGATTGTTGCGAAGTTCAAAAGTTCATAATGAGATTCACAAACCAGTTTGTTAATAACTACGCATTTGATTGGCTTCTTTTACTTCACAGACCAATCAGGGACTTTGTTTACAGATTGGCTTGTGAATTCCAATATGAGCTTGCGAACTTCGCAACGAACTTGCGAACTTCGCAACGAAGTTCGGAACATTTGTGGTCAAAGTTTCGTGAAATCGACTGTAAAATTGTCCCCGGGGTGGGGCATTTTCCACTCTCAGCTTGCCCAGGGGCCATGCACTAGTCTTCAAGTTGTGTCCCGGCACCCGGGCATTTACACTATCATAACCAATCAAATCAAATGCCCGGGTGTGTTCCCGGGGGGGGGGATGGTTACTCCTGGAATTGACTCATGCATTATAGTTGGTTAGCATAATTTATTTGTGTCGAAATTCTTCATTGCGGCCAAGAACTAAAAGTTTGAAGGAAAGCGTAATAATAATGTGCTAGTGCAGTCATGCCAGACACATACATGGGTATCTGTTGAGGACAACGTTAGTGCATAATGGCTTAGCTTTAAGCTAAGGGCACGAAACGATTTTTAGAGATAGGAATTTTTAAGATATTACAAGTTATTTAGATCTATAAAATTCAGTCACATAGTATAAAATTAGTCAGAATAACAACTGCACTTTAGCAAACGATGACATCATGCGTTGGCGAATATGTTAATATCGCGCGTCTAATAAATAACAGGGAGTAATTAGCAAAAGGGTAAAAGTAGACTTTTAAGTGGAAATGTTTGTTCGAAAAACAAAATCAAATGAGTGGTTATTTCGTAAAAAAACCCTTTTCCTATGCATTTTACTTACATATACACAGTATATATAATCGCTTATATGGTTGGGATGCATTACATAAGCATTCCGTAAAAACGGAAGTAGATTGTATGCTTCATAGCTCACAAAAAAAAACATTCCACACACAGAAAAGCACAAAGGTTTGAATGGCTAACAAAACATTTCGCAAACACAAAAGCACTCACGATTTTCGAGCTAAAAGATAAAGAAAACTATAATTTTTTAGAGGGGGCCAAATTTCTAAAGGGGGGGTCATATTTCCTAGGAAATATGACAAATTTTCGGGGGGGAGGGAATTTCCTGTGACACCGGTCATTAATAATGGGAGGGGGATGGTGGGTGATAAATACCAAATATTGAACATTTTTTAGAGCCACCCCCAATTGCAAGACCTTTATTTTCAGGACACCCCCACCTTCATCTAGAAAATAAATTTAGAACCCCCGTCCCCTCCAACATTTAATTTATTACATTTTTTGGTGTAAAATAAGTAATGGGACAAGTACTAGGGACCAGTATTCAAATTTTGAAAATGAGTAGGAAAATATTAAAAAAATGGGGTCATCCCTTGTCACAGTAACAGTAACAAATGGCTTTATTAGCATGACTTCACATACAAGTATTGCTAAAGCTTATTAGTTAATTATAAATAGTTACAAATGCAAAATGTTCTGTGGTAATATGACACTGTGAGTAATACAAGAAATAAAAATGAATTTATTGATATAAAGAAAGGCATAGTTAACAAATGAATACTCTATTTACAGCATACAGTATATGTAATTGAAGAAGTTTGAGAGTTAGTTCGATAGCCTATTGACTGTCAGCATTCCGAGCTTCAAGGCATTTAGATCTCTTCTCAAAACATAAAGAGATAAATTTTGATAATTTTATCACGGTTTCTTTATCAGTTGATTTCATTATCTCAACTGATAAACTGTGTTGGTTTAAATCTGTTTCATTGGTGGGATCACTTTCCAAGTCATTTAAAAAGTTTTCTCGGAGACTACTATAGGCTTCTGTTCACAGGATGTTAGGAAGTGATGTTCCGTTTCAATTTCTCCTGCCTGGCAGACCTTGCATATTCGGTCTTCTCGCGCAATGTTTTCGTATCTACCGAGTTCAATCATTAGTTTATGGTTACTTAGTCGGAGCTGTGTTAAACGTTTTCTTTGGTTTGAATTAGTTATGGTAGTCAAATAAGTTTCAAGCTCATAGTCTTCCTTTATGCTTGTGTAGAAGGTAAGTTTGGATGAGTTTTCAAGTTTATGTCTCCAGAATCTTTGGTAGTTTTCTTTAGTATCTTTAACGCATCATTCAACTAGATTGGTTGTAAGTGAATCTAGGTCAGGGATTGCTCTATTACAATTCAAGGTTTTTACTATATCCATTGCTTTTCCATAGAAAGAATTGCTCTTTTCAATAAATAAATCTTTTGATATGAGGAAAGCTTGTTTTGAAATGGTTGTTTCAGGAAGTGAATTAAGATGAGTGACGTACTTGAAGATTCTTTTGAATACATTGATAATTAATGGATATTCTCCAAGTTCGCTTCTTGAGGCGATATTACTCGTCTTTCTGCCAACGCCGAGAATTGAGGCCGCCCCCAATTCAGGCAAAAATACAGGTAGTTGAAGCCGCCCCCCTTTTCTCACCCACCGACCCCCCTCCCATTATTAATGACCGGTCCGTCCCTAAAAACATTAACCCAGTAAGTGTCAGAGCATGCTCCTCCTGACGAGTAAAATCATCTAGCATTAAACAAAATACAATTATAATAAAGTAGGGCCCATCTGACATCCATGGCAAACTTTTCATGTGCCGATTAGGAATCTAATGCAAGTATTAAGTGCAGGCCTGCCAAGGTGTGGTGCATAAAATGAGGGAAATTACAATATTTGTGATTTTTCTGTGTGTGACGTGAGCTGACAATAAACATGAGCTCAACGAAATCGTTAGTAGGGACTAAGGGATTGCTGTGAGTGCTTTGTTTAATTAAGAGAACCTTGAAACTAAGACTGCATTCAGAGCACTCTTGCTCTGCTTTGCAATACATATCAATATCGATATGTGTCTAGATAATTTGTTAGGTTTTTCTGGTAGCCCTCCCAACATAAGGCCGTCGGAAGTAAATCAATATTGGGGGGAGGGGGTGAACCGAAATTAGTATAGGCCACATTAGGTGGCGTGACAAGGGGCGGGGACTTTTATAAACAAGATTGACATTTTGAAGTAATAGCAAAGTACAATTAGTTGATAGACAGATAATACAAAAACAACATTGAGACTGTGAGACATATCGTGATTCGTGAGACTGTGAGAAATTTAATATATTTTAGGTTTAAGTTTTGTAAGTTTTATTTTTGGATTTTCGATTAAATAATTAATAGTATACTACGTGAGTAATGAGTTCGGTATACTAGTGGTGCCGTGACCAGGACTCGAGAGGAAAAAAGCGACGAAAATCAAACACACAAAGCGGCGAAATACGAAGTAAACACTGTTGATTTATCATTATGAGCGACGAAGAGGGGGCGAGATTACAAACGCAGGTGAGCAAAAACTCGAAGGAGATATTGAGAAAGAGATTTCTAAGTTGAAGTATTTCTTAGAAGAAACAAATGAAATTATTCAAGCGAAAGATTACGGTGAAATGGAAGCTATAAACAATCGCGCTGGGAAAATAATTGTCAAAATATCGGAGCTAATTTCACAAACAGAAGAGTTGAAAATCGATAACGGCAAAACACCGCGTTCAGTTAGACAGTGGAAAAAGGAAACAAGAGCTAAATATTCTGCGCTGATCGAAGACAAAGAGAAAATAGCACAACAACTAAAGGAAAAACAAGAAAAAGCTTATGACGAAGCTGAATTACGACGGCTAGAATTGAAAGATAAACAATTTCAACAAGAAGAACAACCACGAGCTGAAATTCGCGAAGCACAAGAGGAACGCGAACGACAATTATGGCAAGAAAGGCACGAAGCTGAATTACGCATGACTCAGAGAAAGATTGAAATAGAAAAGACCGCTCGTTCATCTGCAGCGAAATTACCAAAGTTAAAAATAACACCGTTTAATGGGACCCCCACAGATTGGGTGCGATTTGAGAACATGTTTTTGACACTTGTTCACGAAAAAGCGAGTACAGCCGAAGAAAAATACGGGGTTTTATTGGAAATGGTGAGCCCAAAGGTGAGGGAAAAGATTGCTAATTTGAAACCAGGTGAAGTCGGTTACAAGATTGCATGGGAGAGATTAAAAAGCGAGTATGGTCACCCCAAACATGTTATCAATGCCCATATGGATGCCATAATTAACTTAACTCCAGTAAGAGGACATAATTATGAAAAAGTTCAAGATTTCTATGAGAAATTAAGCAAGAATTTCGATGCACTTCAAACTCTGGGAGAAAGTGAAAAACTTTCTGGATTTGTTATGGCTACAATCAACAAGTTGCCCCACATAAAACCCGACTTGGTTCGAGCGGACGATGACTGGGAAGAATGGTCCATGGAAGTACTAATAAAGAATTTGCAAAAGTGGCTTCGACGGAATAAAGTGGATGATGCGAGCAATCAGAAAGAAACCAGATACAAGAAACCAGAAGGACATTGGTATCAAAAGACATCAGGACCCCCAAAACCTCACTGTGTTTTTTGCGCGAACAATGAACACTGGAGTGATCAGTGCAAAACAGTGAAACGATTGGCCGACCGAAAGAAATTCTTCGCTGAGAAGAATCTGTGTTTTAACTGTGGTCGTGGTTGCCTAAAGTGTAATGCCAAACATCACACAAGCCTGTGTGATAAGAATGAAGACAACCAAGAGAACAAGACATCATTAACTGGATTTACCACATTAACCGAGGAGAAATCGCTCCCAGCCATTATACCTGTCAACATAAAAGGACAGACCCTGTGGGCATACCTCGACACTGGCTCGAGTCGAAACTTTATTTCACGCGAGGCTGTGAAGAAACTCGATTTGAATCCAACACATCATGAATCCCGCGAGATTGTAACCGTGAATGGTACCTCTACTCAATCCATACCTATTTTCCAAACAACCATAACTTCTCTTGATGGGAAAGTACAGGAAGAAATCGAACTGACTGGTTCCAGACTTCAAGATTTTACCACAGTTAAGAGACCAGATATGAATGAACTCAAGATGAAGTACACCCATACTCAAGACAAAAGATTTTATATGACCGCCAAAGGGGAACATCCAATTCATCTCATACTCGGTGATGGCACATACAGCAGGATCCGAACTGAGAAAGTTTACAAAGGAAATCCCGGAGATCCCCTTGTGGAGGAGACAACATTCGGATGGGTCATACATGGTGGTGAGGATTATTCGAGCGATGCCTGTATGTTCACTAGAGAAGTTTACGATTACGAACAGTTATATAGTCTTGATGTTCTCGGAGTTGAAGACCGTGGTGAAAATGACCAAATGCAAGTGCTTGCTGAGTTTCGAGAGAACATAACCAGACAAGAAGATGGCAGATACCAAGTTAGCATACCATGGATTCCAGGGAGTAAGTTGACAACTACAAACGAACAGCCAAGCAGAAGACGACTGTTCAACGTGAGCAAAAAGTTAGCGAAAGACGAAAACCTGAAGCAAGAGTATGAGAAGATTATCGATGATCAACTAGCAAGCGGTGTGATTGAGAAAGCCCCAGACGAGCCGTCAGGAGAGCGAGTGTACTACATGCCACATAAGCCAGTCGTAAGGCAAGACGCAGCGACAACGAAAGTGAGAATGGTCTTTGATGCGAGCTCCAAACCCCATCCACTAGCATCCAGTATTAACAATTGTATGTTTACTGAGCCTCCCCTCCAACCGTTATTGTGGGATATTATGGTCAGAGCAAGAATGTCGTCAAATCTTTGCAGACATTCAAAAAGCCTTTTTACAGATAGCAATCAAAGAAGAAGACAGAGATGCCTTCAGATTTCTCTTCGAGCGCGACGAAAAAGAGGAACATTTTCGGTTCGCCAGAGTTCCATTTGGGGTTGAAGCCAGCCCATTCTTACTCGGTACTACATTAGAATACCACTACGACCAACAATCACCAGAATTAGAGGAAACAGTGACTGCCCTTAGAGAAAATACGTATGTGGACAATATCATGCAAACGGGAAATAACATTGATAAGTTGGAGAAGTTTAAGAATGAAAGTGAAGTTATTCTTGAGAGTGCAAAATTACCGATTCACAAGTGGGAGTCGAACATCGCGACATTAGAGGATGAGAACATGTCAAATCCTAGCAAAATTCTTGGTCATGTTTGGGACAAGCGTGAAGACACTCTAGAAATACAAGTACCAGCAGTACGTGAGACAGAACCAGTTACGAAACGAAGCATCTTGAGTCAGCTTGGCAAAGTGTACGACCCATTGGGAATAATATCACCCACGATGGCCGAAGGAAAACACATTTACAGAGAGGCTTGTGAAGAGAAAAAGGGATGGAACGCCGAGGTTTCACCAGAATTGAAGAAACAGTGGCACAAATGGAACAAACAACTAAAGAACGTGAAAGTACCGAGGAGCTTAGCAGGAAATTCGAAGGAAACGAAGGCTATCGAGCTCCATGTGTTTGCCGACGCAAGCAATCTCGCATGTTCTGCAGTAACCATAGCACTAGTTGAACATTCATCTGGAACGATCAAAGGGTTGCTGACATCGAAGTCCCGGATTTCAAAAAGAAACACTTCGATACCCAGATTGGAACTCGTAGCTCACATGGCTGCGAACATGGCGAAGAATTTACGTAACGCTCTTCATCGGCACCCAATCAAGACCATTGTGATCTGGTTAGATAGCATGGTAGTGCTTTACTGGTTGACCAATCCAGGGAAACCATGGAAGACGTTTGTCTCCAATCGAATCAAGAAGATAGCTGAGATAACCAACGAGCTTGGCATCATTTGGAAATATTGTCCGTCAAATAAGAATCGTGCTGATCTAGGGAGCAGAGGAGCAACCATGGAAAAATTGCAAAACGAAAGCTGGTTTAACGGTCCAGATTGGTTATTAGAGAAAGAACAATGGCCAGAGCAACCCAATTTGAAAGTAACTACATCTGTCAGTCAAGAATGCAAACCAATTAAAGAGCAAGCACTGTTTACGAAAGATCGAGAGCCAGACGAATGGGACGCTTTGTTAGAAAGAAACACATACTGGCGTACATTGCGAGTAACATCATGGGCATTAAGATTTCTAAACAACTGTTTGGCAAGAGTTCGTCGAAACCAAAAGCGATCGGGGCCTCTTGTAAGCGAAGAAATTACAGTTGCAAGAAACGCTTGGGTAAGGAGAGTACAACAAGGTGTCAACCCTGAATTACAAGCGCCAGGTTGGAGAATCGTCGAAGACGAAGTAACGAAAGTTCTCAAGTGTAAAGGAAGAGTAAATGGATACGAGCCAATATACCTTGACGGAGGACTGTTCGTAGAAAAGCTAATAGCCCACACCCACAGCAAGATCAAACATTTCGGTGTTGCAAATACCATGGCTGCTTTGAGAGAACAGTGGTGGATACCACAACTTAGATCAAAGGTGAAAAAATTAATCAACAATTGCAATATCTGCAAGTTGTATTCCACGAAGCCGTATGGGTCACCATTGACGAGCAACATGCCCAGCTTTAGCACAGAATCTAGCGAACCATTCGAAGTCACCGGTGTCGATTACGCCGGGCCGTTAAGACACAAAATCAGTAAGAGAGAAGAGGGAAAGTGCTACGTATTAATCTTCACGTGTGCAGCATCTCGAGCGATCCACCTGGAACCAACCAAGAGCCAAGAAGCAGAGGAATTCCAACGAAAGCTCAACTCATTCATCGCTCGAAGAGGAAGACCTCGATTAATGATATCGGACAACGCAGCGACATTTAAAACGACAGCCAAACTAATCAAAGCCATTAGAAAGAGTGAGAAATTGCACGATTTCCTAGCAGCACAAAGTATACACTGGAGATTCAACCTTGCTAAATCCCCTTGGTGGGGAGGGATCTATGAAAGATTGATTCGGGAAGTAAAGAAGACCCTTTATAAGACCCTTGGAAGATCGCACCTTTCATTCGAGAATTTGGAAATGGTCCTCATGGACATTGAAATTAATATGAACAATCGTCCATTAACCTATGTCGAAAGCGAAAGTGGAGAGGAAGAAGTACTAACGCTAAACGTTCTCATCCGAGGGAGAAACACTTACCTTCTTGATGACATAGAGAATGACGTAGACGAGCTTACGAAGATGCTAAAGAGAATCGCCAAAGCAAAGAACAACGCTTGGAAAAGATGGCAACGAGAATACGTACACAGTTTAATGGAAAGCCAACGAGTAAACGGAAAGCCAGTTAACACGCCTGAAGTCGGTGAAGTAGTTTTAGTCGTGGGAGAAGAAAAGAACAGGAGCGAATGGAAGAAGGGAAAGGTAGTGCGACAAGTCAAAGGAAAGGACGGAGTGGTGCGTGGTGTGGTACTTTTACACAAGGGACACACTATCGAAAGACCGTTACAGTTGGTGTGTCCACTCGAAATTCGATGCACAACGCAAATAGAACAAAGAAATAATGAAGAGAAGCAGACGGGTGAAAATGAAAGGAAGAAACGGGGAGCAGCAATTGAAGCAAGTAAGAAAATACGTGAGCTAGCAGAAAACGAGGATGCAGACTAAACAGGGAACAGTAAATGAGTACAGTTCACATTGTGTTGACTTATAAAAATTAAGACTGAATTTTTAGGGGAGTAGTGAACCGAAATTAGTATAGGCCACATTAGGTGGCGTGACAAGGGGCGGGGACTTTTATAAACAAGATTGACATTTTGAAGTAATAGCAAAGTACAATTAGTTAATAGACAGATAATACAAAAACAACATTGAGACTGTGAGACATATCGTGATTCGTGAGACTGTGAGAAATTTAATATATTTTAGGTTTAAGTTTTGTAAGTTTTATTTTTGGATTTTCGAT